CGATTTTCTTAATTTTTTCGGCAAAAAACATGGGAGGATGAATGCTATGCATTGGTATGAATTTTGGCTAATTAGAAGATATGAGTGACCTCTAAAAGTTGGTTTTAAATAAATTCACAAATTTTGGAACAAAAAGTCTATCAAACACCACTTTTTGAAATTAAAAAAAAAAGTTTCACATATCACACTTTGATAACATTGGGTAAGACTACAATATAAGCCAAAGTGGTTTAAACTTTATATGGGGCCTTTAAGATCATATTAGTCTCAAAATTGTAAAATCATCTGTACTTGTAAGAGGGATGTTTGGCTGGCTAATAGGGAACAGGGTACTTAGTCCAGTTGCCAAATACCTCTGACAGGCTAAAGGTCGTTTTAAGGTATAAAGTTTTTTTCTGTGCATTTTTCTATTGCTACACATGTATTCTTTAAAATGAAATAATCTGCAAAATCATATATGTTGAGCTTTTTTTTTAATCGCACCATATAATTATGTAATTAATTTCAAAGGGGGCGTGGCACTTTGAAAGTTATAACATGTTAACATTCATTAAAAATTATTAGACCACTGAGAAATATGTGTTTTCGAGAGATAGAGAGAACAAAGGTTTAATTTAACATACATTGCATGTTTTCAGCCTGACCCCCAGGGGCCGTGAATGGGGGGAGGGGTCTGGAAAACAGGAATTTTGAAATCTTTCTGAAGTATAGCTTTATTATACTCAAATGAAAGGTAATTAAGAGTAGATTGCAAATATTGTATCATTTTTCTGATTCGGGCCTCCTGAAATTCAAAATGGCCGCCTAGTGTGGGATTTCGCAATAATTTTGTGATCTTCAAAGTATGCGTATTTTATATTCAATTTGAAGGAATGTGAGAGCAGGTCACTGTTAAAGTATTGTTTTTCCTAATTCATGCCTTAAGATTCAAAATGGCTGCATAGAGCAGGAATTCTGTATTACTTAAAGATCTTTTCAAAGTAGTGTTACATGATACTATATTAGATTTCAAATAGTATTGTCTTGATGATTTATACCTTTGAAACCCCTTAATGGTCACTCATATGCTTAAATCTGTGAAACTTCTTATATATCTCTAATGTATGTATGTCTTAATATCTGTGCAAGTTGCTGATATCTAGTTTGAGATTGATTACATAGTATTACAATAAAAAAAAACTTTGTTAAAAGATAATACCTATAGTACATATTTTGATAGAAGCACATGCAATTATATTCAATGTACCTCAATTTATAAAGTCATCATGTGATACAAAATATGATGCTTTTTAAACTAATTTGTCAAAAAATGTCATCCAAACGAAAAATGTGACTATACTAACATTCCATTTTCATAGAGGTGTGAAAAATAACAATTGTGATCTTTCCCCTCTAAGAGATTACTGAATCACCAACTTAGTTATCTACAATTATTTACCTCTACAAATATCGCTTGGGACTATACTGCTGGAGTTCAAGGCTTCTGCTGTTGTATCTAGATTGATACAGATAATTTCAAACAATTTTGGAGCAAACATGTCCTTTTGGAATGGATGGAAGTCAACCCATACATTGGTGATATTGGCAGTACAACTAAAAAGAATATTGAGCTATTAAATCCCCAAGTATGGAGGATACTTTACCAGATTGACTACAATGAAAGAGAAATCAGTTAAGCCTGCCACCTTAACAAAGTACTAGCCATTGGCTGACATGAAACCATCCGACCCTAGCACAATGATGACCATGATGATTAAAGCTAAACATCTTACAAATGAATATGGCATGGAATGATATATATAGCATATTCTTCTTGTGCATCATAACCACAACCATCAGTTGCAGAATCTGTCCACCATGCAGCGAAAATCACCTGGGAGGGCAGTGGTGGATATAAAGCGATTAAAACAATCTACAACAGCAATGAAGTTCGAACCCTACCCCCAACAATTAAGGCGTTTGCAGATTGCAGAAATTTCAAGGGGGCTCATTGGAAAACTTGAAATATGCAGATTGTCCCAATCCATCCGCCCTTGAATCAACACAATTTAGTTGAGAAAAAGTTGAGAATTATTACTTAGGAGCTTTACCAGAAGACATACAGTGTGTCTCATCAGAAGTCTTGAAGCCCATAAATGTGAATGGCTGGATGGCGCGCTTCAGGAGAAAATGACTGTTTAGCAGTACAGCGACAGTGTTGATTATGTAATAGTTATCTAACTAGAAAACGACAACTCCACGGAGTAGCAAATCCCAACGAACACTACAATATATTCATGAATCTGTATATGGCATGATGTGATTATTTACCATCTACTCTACCCTTGATCAAATTGACAGATATTAAAAGGCATACATTACAGATATATCAGAATTTCACCTGGGGTATATTCCTCAACACTACCCCTGGTAATACGAATAATGTGTAATATCGACAAATACACCCCTTAGATATCTAAGCACGAGTGCCAAAGGGAAAGGACCAAAAGTTGTAATGGAACTTAGCAAGAAAAAGCAAACTCTAAGTGCATACCAGTCAAGAAAAACAAACCCCATATATCCCAAAACCATGATCTAACATGAAAAGAAACAATGTCTTTCCCCCGCCATTCAAGAACCAATATCACAATCCAAGACTAGAACACCAAGGGACATTTCATTCATACTGAAGTCATTACAATACATGTTGAAGAAAAAATTAGAAATTGATATCCAATACTCATAACATCAAAAATAGTTGTAGATACAAGTACTCATATAAAATAGAGCATTCAGTCTCAAATGATGTGGGATAGATAAAATCCAGTCTACAAGTCCATAGGCGTTTCAAAGGGTCAACATCCATTCGCAAAAGCCATCGCCATAATCCATAAAACACAATAATTCACAATGGTCATCAGGAGAGAACTATGGCTGGTTTCGATCCCTATTTCTCAACCATTAATGCCAGTGCTGGGATCCACCTCAAAAGGTGCCAATTGAAAAAATTGTGAGTTCAGCGCCAATTTCTTAAACAATTCCTACATCCTTCAGCATCTCAAGTTGTAAAACTTAAAACTTCGAAATTAATGACTTGTATTTTTCAGCAAAGACCAGAAAGTATTTCTTAAACTTTTTACAAGTATAACCTTGACCTAACAGTTTGATCACTAAAGTATTGTGTCTTGACTTAAAATCTAAATATTTAGAGCATGCAATGCCATATCTAATAAGCTAGGATACGTACACCCCATATGATAGAGCTAGGCACAAAAGCTTTCGAACACTTCACTCCCTTCAGTCGTTCGGGGTACATAAAACATTTGTACCTAGCCCTGCATGGTGTAATCGTCGATATAACACCTGCTCTTCAGTCTATATTTCTTAAATATATAGCCTTACTTTGAAGAAATCGCTGAGTAATAGCGAATTTCTACTCTAGAAACAATACAATGATTGTTATCTACTTCAATTTGAGTATAAATGAATAAACACAAGGAGCACACACGTCTCAAACTCGTGGTTACAGCACCTAATTGCCTAGTTTGAACGTGCTGGCGCTCAAGCCCTCTCGGCCATATAGACATACTTTGAATGGATCAGGAAATTATTGTGTAATCCTACATTAGGCAGCCATTTTGAATTTTTCGAGGTCTGAATCAGAAAAATGATACAATATTTGCAATCCACTCTAAATTGCCTTTCATTTGAGTATAATAAAGCTACACTTCAGAAAGATCTCAAAATTAATGAAAATTTCTTTTTCCCCACCCCCTCCCTCCTATACTCAGCCCGGGGGGGGGGGGGGCAGGGTGAAAAACATAGAATATATGTGGAAAAGATGGATGTTGTGAATATACTACCAAAATTTTAAAAAAAATATTCAGTACTTTGGTTTAAAAATAAAGAGTTAATATTTTCGCGAAATAGTCCCGTCATTTTTAAAGTGGTGGCCATCTTGATAACAGACGAATGGGTGGAGGACTTCACTCTATGTCTGGGATAATAACCAATTAAAAGCAATTTGCCTTTGCCTACAAATGCATTAGTTTGTGAAATATTGATCTTAAAACTTGGATTTTCTAAGATTAGCGATATAAATCTGCAAAAAAACAATTACTAGAAAAAATGATGACTCAGCACTTTTTAAGACATTATAATTTTATGCATTTGTCGAGTTTTGAAGAGGTCTGTGTTAAATAAGTGCTTAATATAACCTCACAATATATTTTTCAGTGAGATAAATTAGAATAATTGAAAAATAAAGTAAAAAATTTGCTGAGTCAGCAGAAAAAAATGCTCAACCTATAAAATTTTGCAGATTGTTTAATTTACTTAAGAATGTCAAGTACTATCAGAATATGCAAAGAAAAAAACTTTATACCCTAAAACGACCCCTTCCTTCTTGGCCACCGGACTAACTCTTAGATGATCTTCAAACAGTAGTCTGGAAGATGTCTATGCTGCAAAATGTTTATATCAAGATGTACTTGTCAAAATTGTCAATACTTTGAGGAAGATTGGTATCATTCAACAAAACTGTCATTTAAGACAGGTGATTTGAAGGTTTGAACCCATAGAACTGTAAATAATCAAGGATAATATGGGAAATGTTTGACATGTGAGTATTGTGAAGTCTGGTATAGCATGGTTCAAGTAAAGGAAGTGTTTTTCCAAAAACTGAAGTATTCAAGTATTTACAATGGAGTAAGACATGGAGAGAGATGTATTCAAAGTACTTGCCGGAGAATGTGTTTGGCGCAATATGCAGAGAAGTGTTTATCAGAGAGAAGTGTTTACCAGAGAAATGTGTTTACCAGAGAAATGTGTTTACCAGAAATACAGAATTTTATTTGTGCCATGTTCAGAATTAGTAAATTGAGGAACATAGTTTTGAAAAGGTGTTGTTTAAAATGAGGTATTAAAATGAGTGTAATATTGAGGTATTCATTAGAGAAAACCATGTTAATCATACATTAAACATTATTAGTAATGATATGTGTTTCTTTGAATACTTGCAGGACATCTTGGTTCAATGGAGGATACAACCATGCTAGATGAGACCAGCACAACCCCCTCCAAGCGCTCCAACACTGCCTACAAGCACCTCGTCACTGATATGAGTAAGTCATGTTATAATGCAAGTATGATTCTGATGATTTATTAGTTAGACATGCATAAGTACATATAAGTGATATATAGACTTATCACACCATGAAACATTGCAAACAATGTTACATCACTCTAATTTGTCGACTTGAACATGAAAATCATTTATAAATGTTTATTAGATATTTATAATTGTCTTTCAGGAGCACAGAATTTCGATGTGATTCGTTTTGCAACATACAGGACAGCTTGTAAACTTAGATTCATACAGAAACGAACCAATTGTGAGTATCATTTTCTCTAAGCATGCTTTATAGTAGTGGCTGTTTATATTTTAATACACACACGGTCCTAACTTCGACCGTTTAATTTGAATTTTTGACCTATCCGATGTTTGAAAATCAAGGTTTACGAGTCTCATACTGCACCGTTTTTGTTCAAACTTGTTCCATTCAAAGCATAACAAAAATCCCTTTCTGATGGTACATTATTCTCTTAAACAGAGTCCCTACTTCCAGCAGCATTTTGGTCCCCATCTGTAAGAAGGCCTTCTAACAGCTGGGGACCAAAACGCTGCTAGAACGAGGGACTCTTTACAATAAAGTAATGCACCGACATAAAGGCAATTTTGTTTTGCTTTTAATGGTATAAGTTTGAAGAAAAACAGTGCAGTATGAGACTCGCAATCCTTGATTTTCAAGCATCTGGTAGGTCAAAAATTCATATTAACGGTCAAAGTTAGTACCGCGTGATACAGTATCTGATATAACATTGAGCGAGTTGTGTCTCTGACCCTCCCCCACCATATCCAGCATCAACTTTTGACAGGTTCCCTATTATGCAAATCCATTTAATACAAATATCGGAAAGATGTTACAATTGTATGAATTAATCCTCAGGCCAGTAGCCCTGAGGCGGGGTCAGGGAGTTCGAGCCCCTTGGCCAAAAATTATACAGTTTTTCACCAATCTGAGTACTTTTTAAAATTGATTTTAGGCCAGAATTGTAAAATGTTAACTCCCCTGGAATTTTTGGAAAAGTGAACCCCTATTGGAGAAAGCTGGCTACAGCCTGATCCATGTCTATTGAATATGTTGAAATAATTTTCCATCATCTACAGGCTAGAATTCATATTGATTGATTCTATGAGCAATTGTTCTCGTCAACATTTGTCTTGTGAATTTAAATCTGATAACATTTTGTTCTCCCTTTTATCTGAGAAGTTGTTTTCATTTACTGAGATAGAGTTCTATTGCTTGTGCACCATATTATGACAAATTAATCCAACTTTCCCTGTAAGGTCAATATTGATTATGAGATTAATAAAACTACTTATTAAGGTCACTTTGGAACTTTATAAGATAACATTTATTGTTAGTACCTCAGTTGAAATACTCGTTTTTGATTGGTCAACGAGCGGTGAATAATTTTAACTGTACACCGCGCAATGCATTGCCGGTGAATAATATTCCCAGCATTCCACTAAAATGACGTCATTATCAGACGATAAAATGGCCGCCGCTAGCACTAGCCGTTTCAAAAATGTTGAAGAGGATATTATTAGTCTCTTAGAGAGTAAAGACAGTCAAAATACGAAGAAAAATCTAAAACTTTGTACAAAGCTTTTAGTGGACTTCGCCCAGGAGAGTAATTTGACTCCATTGAGTGAACTTACTGCCGATATACTGAAATACAACATGAACGTCTCGAGGGTCTGGATCCAACTTCAAGTCAACTTCAAGGGTCAGAAAAATCTAAGATATTCTTCGGACTAACAAAACAATTATAGACCTCTCCATTCGGTTTACTGTCAAAATTATATCCCTCGACTGTAAACCTCGACCTACGGTCTCGGTTTACAGTCTCGGGATATAATTTTGACAGTAAACCTCTGGAGAGGTCAATAATTGTATACAGTAATTTATCTTGAATTGGTGACAGATTTAAATATTCCAACCATATCTAGCTATATGTTTCCAACTTTTTATGGATGGTATTCGCTGTTTGGTGTTGGTGGTCAATGTCTGTAACAAATGGCAGGTGGTGATATTTTGTATGTTAATACCTTGTTTTCTGATGTAGGCAATATACAATAATGCAATCAATGTAGTATTTTGGGCTCACTGAATTTGAAGTCAATTGTACCTGAAATAGATGTGTAAAACAATTGTTGGATTTACATTCATATATTGTTCAAAATCCAGAATGGTTTAGTTTATTCTATTGTCCCATTTGCAAATAATCAAACACAAATCTATGTGTTATCTCAGTCTCAGTATCTCAGTTTAAATAGCAGCAGGTACATGTACTTGGACATTGGAACAGATTAGAACACATTACTTTTCTTAGATATAGAGAAGCAATCTGTCCTTCTGTCTGAATGACAATTCAAGTAGTCCTCATCCAATTTGGTTCATATTTAAAATATCCTCGTGATGTTGATGTATAAAACAACTGCTCAAAGGAAATAAATCAAGGCGTCCTTTTCAAAATAGCCACTATTTTTCACAAAATACTATAAACTTAAAAACTTCAAATTAGAATCATAATCTGCTTATTTTAGATGGCTGTCATTTTTGGTCCTTTAAATCGAAGTTCTTGATTAAATATCTGACTTTGTATATTTCTCAAGTTATATGGATAATGGATCTCTGTAATATATTCTGCACATGCATCTATCTGTTGACTGTTTTGTTATTCAGTCATTCGGTCATTTGTTATTCCCCCTATTTTGTTGTTCAGTTTGGCAGTTGGCACTCTATTCTGTAGAGTTGCCATTATCTAGTTTAAAGCATGTATTTGACACACAAGAAGTAAAAGGAATCTTTAAGGTACATATTCTTAGCTTGTAATATAGACTTTGATTTTTCTTGATTTCCATCTGTAATTTACAAGCATTGGTTCTTATTAGGAGTAATACTCAAATAAGGCTTAACCTTGTCAAAGACAAATCTATAGGATTTTTAATAGGAAATCAAGTCAATGCCAGTGTCCCAATTTTTGGATGATTGATATAATTACAAACTGAACGACTTAACTCTTAAATTGGAAACTGGAGTCCTTCGTAATCAATTTCGATATTGTACCAGTAAAATATGATACACAAAAAGCCAATTTAAGGAGGCTTTATTTTTATGTTCGTGTAATGGCAAGATATTGAAATGGATTTTGATTAATGGTCTACTCAGCAGAGGTTATCGTGATAGCATGAAAATAACACTATAAGATATAGATTTATGATTTATATTCTTACCCATTTACTGATTTTCGAAATGTTATGCTTTCATTTTGATGGAACTATTTTGAATTATGGCTTTCATAAAGCATAATTCTGCTATTATATGGTGATTTATGACTTGGCTCACTTCACTGCACTGGTGAACCTGAGTCATCAGATCAGGTTAGTTATGCATGTACATAGGAACTAGAATGCAATCTGGTACTTTGCTAATAGTCCATTTGTCATTTTATGAACGTATGAATAGTTAAAAGTTTGATGTTTTTCTGCGTAAATACTATCATTAGGGATTATTGGAGTGAATTAGCTGGGTTGCCAAAAAAATAACTTTGGGGAAAAATTTTGTATCTATTCCCATGGTAACATACTAGGTATATGGTGGTATCCCAACGCTAAGTCAATAGTCAACGCCATGTTAAGCGATTGCAACCCTCCCTAATCAGCCTATATAATTTTTTCCCCAAACAAGCTTTTTTGGCAACCCAGTTAAATCACTTCAGAAAACCCTTATTATCATAACTCGACCATAAAACATCGTACTTTTAACAATTTCTGATTCACTATTGGATGTATAGGGGTGACAAATAGACTATAATGTCAGTAATTACAAATCTCTTTTACACACCAACAGGGTTGTTTTGGGCTCTCTTGGTCTTAATTAATGATCATATCCATTTTATGGAGGATTTGTACTTGTAGTTTTCTGAATTGGTACCTGCTCTTCCTTTTCCTCGTTTTGGGGGAAATTAGCTTTTTCTTTTTTCGCCATGTGAATACTATAAATGGTGCCATTTTGTCTTAGGAAGAACATGTTAGTCTCCCTTTTACATCAATTCCATAATTTTTCTTTTCTTTGGTAGACTAAGCTTTAGAATCACTGATGAAAGCTAAAAACAAAGAAATACATGATAGTACATGACAGTACAAAGAAATCACAATTTGCAAATTGTATCCACATCAATTAATATTCTAATACGTTTTATTTCCAGTGTACTTAGTGGATATTTGGAACATCATTGAAGCCTTCCGTGAAAATGGTCTCAACACACTAGAACATGGGACAGAATTAAATATTACACGTGTTGAACAGATCCTGACCTCTATATACTTTCACCTGAACAAAAGGCTGTCAACCAACCAACAGATAGATGTAGAAGAAAGTATAAGTTTGGCACTTAACTGGTTGTTCAACGGATATGATCTGTAAGGAACATATACTGACAAATTGTACATTTACATTTTTTTTTTAAATAGTTTTTTTTTAGTAAACTATTATCCAGAACTGACGCACATTAAGTTTTTGTTGCCTTATGGGAGCTTAAATCTTCTTCGTCATTTAGAAACTTACGAGAAGTACCTCTGCCCTGAAAAGACTTGGAATAGTTTTGTTGATATTTTAATCTCACCACCATCCAAAAGGGGTATTTACAGGATATCAGTTTTAACATCTACATCAATATTTTTACTCTTCCTATCAAATTGATAAATATTGAGTGAATACTGGGTATAATGAATAATTTAAATAAAGATAATCATTACATTAAAACCCTTTAATGAACTTCAACAATAGAATGGTTGATATTATTGCTTTAAATAACACCATATTTTGGGATGACAACCTCAATGATATATGATATACATGTTTACCACATTTCCAGATTATATTTCAATATCCATTAATTTAGTTTGCCTAGAAATAAAGTTCTTTTCATACTGTCTACCCACATTGTTTCTTGTGTCAACAAATGAATTGATCTTTTCACTCTGGCATGTGCTTTATACTTCCAACTGCAGAGATAAACTACAGAAATATACGAGTGTAGTGACATAACACAAAAGCATTAAAACTGCACTTTGATGTCATCTCAATCTAAGTTCTATTAATAATTCATCTTCCCATTCACTGTTGTTAAGACAACAGACTTTATTGAAATAAGAAATACATTTTGAATAAATATAAACTTCAACTAAACATAATATGAATAACAAAATAATATTTTTAAATACGTCAAATTCCGAGCAAGGCTAGGATATCATTTAGGTTGATTGATCTTTGTTAGTTCATATCATTTTTGTATATTTCTGATATTCATATATTGCTTATTGTGTTCTCTTTGTAAGGATAAACATATGTTGTATTCTCTTGCAGAGATGGTAAAGGCAGAGTGAGGGTGCTTAGTTTGAAGGTGGTGCTATCAACCCTCTGCTCTGGGAAACTTGTGGATAAACTTCAATGTAAGTACAGTACATATACATGGAATTAATATCTTGATGAATCTTGTTGAGACATCAAGCAAGTCGATTGGTCAAATACACAATTGTACAATGTTTTCTTGGAGTTTCTTGACTGTATATCTGAAGCTAGTTCTTGATTCAGAAATGTTCAAGATTAGAAGATTGACTCAGTGGTGTCACTAAATAACAAACAGTGACAACAAACAGAGCCTCGTGATTTGAGAACTCTGCAGTTTTCAATTTAACCAAAATAACGGCTTTGGTAAATGTTTCTTGAAAGATTGGGAAGTTCAATGGGCAACACATGAAAAAACTAAAGCTTATCAACACAATAAATGTCAGTTTATCTGTATGAAGATTATAAGAAAATATTAGCAAGAGGAAAACCTAGCTATGCTAATTGATCTCAGAGGTTTCCGGTCAGACAATCTTCTTACTTTTCAATCTCATTTATGCATCAGGTCTAATCTGTCTTGGTCTCTTAGTACTTCCTAGATGTCTAATTACCACCGCAGACTTATATCAGGCTTTATATATAATTAACGCCATATAAATACTTTCATTTCCTATTTGTCACTATTAAGGTTAGAATCAGTCTGCAATAAAGTGTCAGGTATTATGATATATAGCACACCTTTTGTGATCTTAAGCACCATGATTTACAGGTATTTTAAGGACGTGTTTTGATCTGTTAGATATCAGACAAGAATGGGTGATCACTGATACAGTATTTGTGATTGTGTGTTTTAAGATGTTTTCATGCAGATATCAGACAAGAATGGGTGATTACTGATACACTATTTGTGATTGTGTGTTTTTAGATGTTTTCATGCAGATATCAGACAAGAATGGGTGATTACTGATACACTATTTGTGATTGAGTGTTTTTAGATGTTTTCATGCAGATATCAGACAAGAATGGGTGATTACTGATACACTATTTGTGATTGTTTGCTTTTAGATGTTTTCATGCAGATATCAGACAAGAATGGAGTGATGGTGAAGTCCAAGTTTGAAGAGTACCTCAAGGATCTACTTGCAATTCCCACAGCAGTCTATGAAGGCCCATCTTTCGGTTACAATGATACAGCTTCAAGGGCTTGCTTTGATGGGGTGAGATTTGCTATGTTATTGAGTCTTTATTTAAGAATTTAAAGCTTGAGTTTCAATTTTTCATATTCTGAGGTCTAATATTCCTATACCAATTATTGATAATCAATTTATTCTGTGAATTATGAAAAAAGTTGCCATGCAAATAACATGTTATATTTCTTCTTGGAAATATGTTTTATTATTTTACCTTCATTTAAAAATAAAATAATATTCATTAAAGGAATCATCATAGCCACATGTACTAAAATTGCAAAATAAGATTTATGGATATCGATTTTGCTGATCGTAATATTTATTTATTTTTTATTCCAGAAGTTGAAGATCACAGTGAATGATTTCCTAGACACGTTAATGTCCGATCCGGGTCCCCAGTGCCTCATGTGGTTGCCTATATTACATCGTATGGGAGGTGTAGAAAATGGTAAGCACTTTTATATAAGCCCTAGGGTAATGTAGCCCTTCCCTTATATTGCCCAGAAATTTTAAGATTAAAAAAAAATCATTTTGGTTCAGGTTTCTTGATGAAGTTTTTACAGCGATTTTTTCAAATTAAGTAAAAATTGGCAGTACTTGACAGCACTTCAAGAGTGAACGTTTAGAGTCGAATTAGACTGTGTTCTTGAACAGTAGAAGTTGCATGGGGAACTGACAATTGGTAAATGTGACATTATATCTTGCTAGGCACTGCTCTATGTAGGTAATCATGGGGTTCGATCCTATATTCATAAAGATTCATCATTATTCATAAAGATGTCACATTTCACAAGAACTCAGGAACACCAATATTTCCATCTATTATGATGGCAGAAAGCTATCCTTGTGGAATTGTTATTTTCTTGGTAATGGAAAGCCATTAGTGTGTGGGGGGGGTGCCTTGGAGTAAAGTGTCACGAATGGCTGATTGGATAAGAAAAAAATGAATCAAACTCAATAAAACTTAAACAAAAACTTTGAATATTTAAAGCCAAGGTGCAAATTCAAACTAAAAATGAAAAACTGAATAAAAAATTGTATTGAAAATCTAAGGCAATTATATAGCTACATGAAATTCCCTGGAGTGTTTAGTAATAGTTAGTTGGCATGTCATAGACAGTGTATACAGTTAAACTTGACTCATAAAAACACTATGACCTCATTATAACATTTTTTTAGTTGTTAGCCATATTGTTATGTCACCACCAAAAAGTGACATAAAAAAAGATGATTATGAAAAAATTTGAAGTCAGTCTAAACATATTGTCATGGTCTCCATTTTATTGTGACAGTGATCGGTGGATGGCACTCGGCGATCACAGCATCTGTAACAAATTCTTACAACTTCCAGTAACTTGACAAATACTGTTTAGACTGACTTCAATTTTTTTCAAAATCATCTACAAGTTCTCAGAAGTTCAAATCTGACTTTAGATTTGAGATTTCACCTTCAATGACCTTCTCATTCATAAAAGAAACTTGTTCCAAATTGAACATTTTTTCAAAATCATCCACAGAGTTTTCAGAAATTCAAATCTGACTTAAGATTGAACTCATAATATTGTGACTAACTAGGTGGTGACATTTTGTTATGTTAATGCCTTGTTCTTCATGATATAAGCCAATGTATCAGCAATTTTTTCTATTGATCAAAAGAATGAACAGACCTGAGATTGAGAAAAATTTCTTGAAATTTGCCAATTGACATATATTCCAATAAGCAAAAAAGGGTACAGTAATTGCTCGATTTTTACCTAATATGTACCTGTAGGCATTGCCATCTATATTGTGTATGGACTCTGATTGCCTCAGTGCTGTAATATGACGCACAATTGCATTGTAATGTACTTACGTTCAACTTGATTTACACCCAGTACCAATATTCCACACTTCCAGTCTATTTTTAATTAAAGTCTGTGCACGGCTGCTTGTAGTATAATATATTGACTGGATATTGGGTTGAACATTGGCAGACCATTGGTAAAAGGATAGATATTCAAGGAAATAAAAGAATACTGGTATTAGGAAATAGGTATATGGACAGCAAAATTGGGAAATGGCTTGACATTGTCTACTTGGCTGGAACCATGAATTGATTTAGCATTTGGAGGATTCAAAACTTCATCATTGATATCAAGATTAGAATTTACTTAGGTGTCATTCAGCACATGTGGTTTAATTACTAAAGTTATTTAATACCGTGATGTCAGTTTATGAAATCGTATGTTTTACTGATGTTATCAATATGTAATTCAGGATTTTTATGATTTTCAGTTTTTCACCCAGTGCAGTGTGAAGGTTGCCATCGCGAGTCTTTCCTTGGGTTCCGCTACAAATGCCAGCGTTGCTATAACTACCACCTCTGTCAGGACTGCTTTTGGCGAGGACGGACTTCTGGTAACCATAACAATGAACATGAAGTCAAAGAATACTCAACATATGTAAGTACATCTACTCAATGGGAAAAATGTACTCAATGTGATTTATTTACTCAAACTGAACTCTAAACTCAACATGAATAGTATTATAGATTTTTATGGCCAAAGAATACATTCTCACAAAAGTTTTAAATTTTAAGCGAATGTAGAAGCCTTTGCATATTTTTGGGGCTCTGTTCTGTAATAGTTGCACGTTATACTTAAAACAGATTAGAGGTATGATGTAGAATATCAATATACAGTGGCTGTCCTAACTGAGACAATTATTGGTGTTTCCCTTCAGTTAATTCACATTTGTTATTGTAATTGATTGCCTGACACTCCATTTGAGCAAGGAATGGTAATTAACTGGCAGGAATAATGCAGTGATTTTAAGAAAATACTTATGATAATATTTACAGGATATTCTTAGGTTATGTTATGTTATTTTTGTGATCCATGATTAGATAAATTATATATGCCATAGTGAATGTATGAGCTTCAGAATCTTGGAATTAATGTATTTTTGTACAGGAAATGGAATACATGTACTGGAAATTATTTCTTACCTTCATGTGATATAATAAATCAAACAGTGAAGTATCATCTTTTGAAAGTATAACAGGTAGTTATATAGATTTCGTAATATCAACTTAGAAGTTCCTCTATTAAATCTGTTGTTCTTCTTCCAAGCATAATATCAGATGACATAACATGTAAAACTGTGAGCCATTGATATGGATGAACGTTTAGCTGCGAATGATGATTTATAGCTAAATTGATGGTTCAGTTAAAGACACTGTTTTTTCTTGATTATAACCCATAGAGATGTTCCATCACTGTTGAATGCAAATGAGAACAGCTCCTGTTGACAATTCTTGCATCTTCTCTAACCAAGCTTCCCTTGGATGTAAAATTATTCAGTATAATTTGATTTTATCTTGGTAATGCTCAAGAATTAAGCAGATTTGAAAATCTTGAAGATGCATGATTTAATACATTTGATTAATGAGTTTTCAGAAAAGCGGAACAGGCAATAAGTGGAACTTACATTGTGATATCTATTGCATGTGTCTCATGGGAATTAACGGGAAAATTTTCAGTGACAGTCTGCCCATCCTTTAATGAAAACTTCTTTACTTTTACACATTTGTGTATGAGAGATATGCATAAAGGAACATCTTGACATATTGAAATGAGGGCTTAGCACATTTAAAGATGTGTCTCAAATTTTAGATTGTAGATAGCCAATTTCATTACCTCATAGTGTCATTTACAGTATGTTGTTCACAACTTTACAGGCCCTGGTTGCTAAGTAGCATCTTTCATTTGTTGTTTAATATAATTTGATTTATTAGTTGTCACGGTAGCATTTTTGTTTATTACGCTCTGATTTATCTTGTGTCTGAATTTTATTCTTGGACGAGGGGATATTCTAAAACTGGTAAATGTTATTATCCCACTGAACAAAGTTCATAGGGATATAGAGAAGCCATCTGTGTGTTTGTCTGTCTGTCCGTTCGTTCATTTGTCCTGGTGATAACTCAGTAACTGGTTGATGGATTTGGTTCAAATTTTGTAAGCTTATGCCTTATGGGTGTAGAACCTCTGCTTGAGAATTTTCAATATGGCCACTCAATTCAAAATGGCCACCATTTTTCGTAAAAAATATAAGACCTCTGCTCAAGAAAAAATTTAATATATGGCGTCGCATTATGGGTGTAGTATTTAATAAAATATGTTTTGTTCGGTGCATATGCAATTCTGTGGAGTTGTTGTTTTCTAGTTTCATCACATTTATATTTCCCTGATTATGAATTTGGACTCTCACATAAATTGATTGAGTTGTAATGGGAAATACATAACTTCAATTCTTGGATATCTTTGCCAGTCAAGTCCATTTCCATAGAAAGTAAAACATTGTGATTTATGATGTTGAATAATTCAACAGCTGAAATGTTGGAAGCCATCAAAGCACATGCTTCGTGTTTACACATTATCAATCAATAATACCTATCCCCATATTAGATATTACTTGAAATTCTCAACTTGTTAGACATGAAAAAACAATTACACTATATAGCAAGTGACATCATAGAACTATTTGTGATTGGATCCTTGGGGTGATATGTGATACGCTCGTTGCCATGGAGATTTCCTACGTTAAGTATGGACGTTGTGGGACAAACAATGTTTAATTACCTCACATAGGCGATCTCTTAGTCTTTCACAATCAAGGATGAAACATGTGGTGTTTTTTTTTAAAGTAATACTGATATAAATATCAAAAGTGCAAATAGTGCCAAAGGTTATACAGTATATGAATAGTGACATGAAGATTACAAATAGTGCCAGAATAATATGAATAGTGGCAGAAGTTGCAGAGATAGTACCAAAGATATATAGTCTAATAAATAGTGCCAGGAATAGCATAATAATGCCAGAGAAGTGACATAAATAGTGCCAAAAGCATGTAACAAGGATTGCAAATATTTCGTAGATTATCAAAAGCAAACCAAAAGAGTTCAAGCTTAGTGAAGCAGTTTTAAAAATGGCATATTAATTATAAAGGGTTAATATTTAGCTTCATTATATTCCCT